TGTGTCGTCACCTTCTCTTCACTTGAGACAAGGCACCATCCCCTGCCCCAGGTGGTCTGGAGTCGGGCCTGCACGTCCTCCTTTCCCTGGACCCAGTCATAGCCTGTCTTCCCCATCCTCCCAACCCCCGTCCGAGGTGAAAGCTGGCAGAAGTGACTTGGGTCCCTTTTCCAGCTGTGACCTGTAAAGCACAGAAAAACCCTGAGCATGGGAGGCTGGTTTGCACTTCACCCTTTGGGACCTTCAGCTACAGTTCCTCCTGCTCCGTCAGCTGTGACAGTGGCTACYTGCCAAGCAGCTTGGAGACCACCTGGTGTACATCCTCTGGGGAATGGAGTGCTCCTCTTCCCACCTGCAGAGGTAAATCTCCCTCAGAATGCACAGGGTGTCCCCAGCTCACCCTTCTCTAACCCAGGTTCCCTTCCTACTCCTTGCAAACCCCAGGGAGTCCCCCCCCCATCTTTAGCAAATCTTATTTACTCGGTTTGAGGGAGGTTTATATTCTGTGTTTGAAGTGGGAAGTTCTGAGGTTCTGGTGACTTACAAAGGAGACTATCACGGAAATGCAGAACCGCCCTGCAGAATCCTAATGCCCTCCCTTCTCTTCTCCCTTCCCTGTCTGCCTCGCCCTGCCCTGGGACTAGCTTAAGACAAGGACCACCAGCTGGCTCAGCATCTCCTTTTTCTGTCTCAATCTTATTTTTCTGGAGAAGAGACAAAAAAATTCCGTCCTTTTGATCCCACTCAGTTTGTATGTCAGCATTGTTATTATCACAACTAGTCAAAAATCCTGACCAGTAATCTATTTTTTATTCATTTTTGCCTTTTTATAAATGGAGACCATTTTGMACAAAGTAGAAATAGATAGGAAAAGATGGAAACATTGATAAAAACAGATAACAGCTTCATTGTGGGTGATTATGTTCCCAAGCATTGACTTTGGGATCTGCCCTTCGGATGTGGCTTCCTCACTGTTATGAATTCCAAGTTAATAGGAGGTAAAGATAGGCTTCTGTGAAATTCATGGAGCTCTTTCAACTCCCCAGTGGTGGCGTGTGCTGCTTTGACAAATCCAGACAATGGAACCATGGATTGTGGCCTGGGCCCTGGACGCTCCCCCTGGAACACCACATGTACATTTGGCTGTAAGGAAGGATTCGAACGAGTGGGAGCTCAGAACCTCACGTGTACCTCCTCTGGGAACTGGGATGACGAGAAGCCGCTGTGTAAAGGTAGAGTGTCCACGTTGGACGAAGTGAGCATTCTCTTTCTCAACCTACACTTGAAGTGGGCAAGCCAGCCTTGCTGATATAAATGGGAACATGTGTTTCAGCTGTGACATGCGAAGCCATCCACCGGCCTCAGCATGGCTCTGTGCACTGTAGCTACTCCACAGCTGGYGAGCTCACCTTCAAGTCCTCCTGCAAATTCAGCTGCAAAGGGGGCTTCAGGCTGCTGGGACCAGCCCAGGTTGAATGCACAGCACAAGGGCAGTGGACACAGCAAACACCAGTGTGTAGAGGTGAGCCAGGGATTCTCTCCTTTCACTTTCTTTTCTAAAAGAGCAGTGATCTTCAAGCTTACGCAGGGAAAATGAAAGCACGTGTCCATTTTAACCACAGATGTCAGATTTGATGAGTGACATTCATACCTGAGACTCATGTGAAAGAACCAGGGAAAGGACTGTATATAGTAGCATGAGCAAATGCTTCRCTGGTTTTTAAAAATGCTATGTTAATATACTTTGTAGACAGAGACATGGAATAGGCAGAATTCTTAGTCTAAAGAAAATCACATTAGAAAATTTAGAAAGCAGAATGAGAACATGACCTGAAGCTGAAACTCTTCTCATTCCTCCTTTCTTCTGCAACTGCTAGTATCTAGCAGTGATGGGGAAGCCCCCTGTGTGGGTCAGGTGGGAGATGGCTTTGAACACACATGAGCACTGAAACTTAACTCCAGGATATTGGAGACCTGCAGGTTTCTTATCAGGCACCAGCTTCCTCATAGCAAATACAGCATGGAATGGTTTCCAGGGGCAAAGAGCTGCAACCCCAAAGCCAGCTACAAGCTGGCACATATTCCTGGTGCCTTCTTCTCTTCCTTTCTTTTTGGCCATCTGCACGCATCCAGGATCTGTAATTGCCCTCTGGACGCATAAAATCTTTCCTTTGACTTAACTTCTTTTGCATGTCAGAAGAACAATGCTCAATTCCCGGTTAACGGCTGCTGTTTAGTAGATGCCATTATAGGTGAGGACCTGGAACTCAAAGGAAACAGCCATCTTCCCAGTTGGTCAGGGAATAACGAGGAGTCTCTACTTTTTGGGTGTTGCTTAGTCCTAAATGAACTGGGTTGTCAAACACCAAATGGCCTGCAGTCTCTCAGTGGTATTTTCTGACCACTGTTTTGAGCCTCAGCTCTCCAGGGTGGAGCTTTATCCAGCCCAGAGTGAGGCCAGGTGGTTTGTCTTCCTAGTGCTTCTGGAGACTCCAAAATAAATCCAGCTGTAGGTTCTCCTGGGAGCCAGGATTTTCTTTGCAGAGGAATCCAAAAGGCTCCAGTGTGGCCTCACAGGGGACTGGGACAGTGAGAGCCCACATGCAAAGATACTGTCTTTGTTTCTACTTGACTTTAAGACAGAAGCTTTGGGGAGCCCAGGGTGGGGGCTGCCTGGAGACCCCTGCAGCCACGTGGCACACGGGGCTCCACAGGGCTCACTCTTGCCTTCCAGCTGTGCAGTGCGATGCTCTCCCTGTGCCCCTGAATGGCTCCGTGAAGTGCTCTCCTTCCCCTACTGGAGAGTTCCCCTACAGGTCCTCTTGCACCTTCCACTGTGACGATGGCTTTGACTTACATGGATCAGCTCAACTGGAGTGCACATCTCAGGGGCAGTGGACACACGAGGTCCCCTCCTGCCAAGGTAGGGTGAGTTCAGACTTGAGGGTGCAGGTCACATGCCTCATAAGATTGTGAG